CATTTTGAAGCCTCTGGTGGACGTGGGAGGTCCATATTATGGCAAAGTAAAAGTCATCATGAGGCTCCAAGTTCAGCCTTGGCATGCAACTTCGACCTATACTCATGAAGCTGGACTTGCTGTATGCGTTTAAACCGATACACTCGAATGGTGTAATGGTGATTTGATCTAGGTCGTGCGTGCTGCTCCAGAGAAATTCTGGACATTCTCCCTCGCAGTAAGCATCACTTGTAATCCGAATCGAGGTGACTTCCGCTAAACTAAATCAACTTGTAACGCAGCTTTTCAAGCAACAGGCCGAATTCTTCGATGGTCCATCTTCCAACTTGACTCCTCTGCAATTCGTGAGAAATTGGCCAGCATCGCCGCCCAAGTAATCACAGAGGAGCAGGTGGCGATGTTCAAGGATCTTCTGAAGTTGAAGCCTACTCCGAATGGCGGAGTTGGAGTTACAGATGATCTTAAATATACTAGTGCGTTTTCACGTTTTTGTGGTGGGTTGGTGTCTCATACCTCTCATCGTGCAGTCAAGTTCGCCAGACAGAATGGTGTACATGTTTCTCCCACCGCTCTCTGGGACGGTTTGATTGCCAATCAAGTCTCTAGCTCTTGGGGAGAAAAGGAGTGGACCGAATTTCTTGCGAAGAACGTTGTTGTCTAGGTGTGAGGAATTGCATTTTGGGGGCCACACTAAGAAGTTTGATATGATAACTACAAAATCAATGTTGTATTCCGCTGAGAATAAAACGCATTCGCGATGGTTGATCGGTCTAATAAGTCTTCATATTTGTGTGTCCGATAGACTCCACCTGCGAAAAAGTTGTATTCACCTTTCATTCAATGCATAACACCCCTATCGCAGGATGCGTTGATCCTCTACCAGTGCGACACGGTTACCTTTTAAGTAAGTACATTCTCGAGCAGGTATGCGGTATATATGCATGAATCACAATCCACGTGCCGCGATTTAACTTCTGTCTAAGAGAAGCAAGCACGCCGACAGTGCGAATGCGCATGGACCAGAAAACAGTAATAATCTACAGATGGTATGTGGGCGCGAGATCCAAGGAACATTGGACAGTGACTCACATTGAACGCGACGAATCCGAAGACAATGCCCAGGTTGCGCCAATGATCACTGTCTTTAATATCGACCTTCGAGTGCATGTACTGATCAGCGGTCTTGTATGGACAGTGCTGACAGCCCTCTGCAGCTTCGGGATCCATGAGGTAGCCGCCTGTGAATTCTATGAAGGAGCCCATGTACTTGCTGCACGTCAAACCCTCCGGGGAGTTGACGTGGACTAGTTCCGTGTAAGACTAGCTAATAGCTTCGACTAGAATTCTGGAATGGCGGTCTTGACGATTATTACCCCTGTGCAAGCACCACTCGTAGTCTTCGGATTGTCTTTGTGGATGCTCCTGTTGACCATAGCTTTATTTCCACAAGTCAAGAGATCGAGACTGTTGCGCGGCCGTCTACAACTAGTGTTTAGAACAAGGCACTCAAAACACGAGAGCATCTTGTTCAAAGTTGGTCGAGTATGGCAGTCACACAGTCACGTCCATGGATGCGCCGTGCGGTTTGGTATCAGTTAATAATACGTGACTAGTTGACAGTATGTGAGCCAGTAGCGACCCAGCTACACGCATTAGTAGGACACGTTGCCTCCACGAACCGGCCAACCTGGTTCGGACTTCAGCAACGGTTTGGTACTCGCAAGAATCATACCGAATCATCATTGGATTCACTCCCTGTTAGGTATCCACAACTGTCACAGAAAGGACCGAATGCTGCAAGGTACATTTTCAGCTTCGCATGACCAGAAGTCCCACTAAGATGAAGACAATTGCAAGCGAAGTTCAAACACTGTTTCGTCGTTGTTTGCTAGTATTTGGAGCCCAAACCCAAATTATACAAGTTTTCCCGGCCACTGATCTCAGTCAACACAAATTCGAGTTGGGTTTCTAGTCATCCACAGTCGATCTAACACATTTGTCTCCAAGACATCACTATCAAGTACCCTGGTGGTCCGAAAGTCGTTCATACCTGCCCCCTCACCACCTTGTCCAAGCTCTCTGCAAAGTATCTTATGTTGTGCGTGTTCAGCCCAGCCATCGAAATCCGTCCGTTGGCCGTCAAGTAAATGTGGAAGGTGTCTATCAGTGCTTGCGACTGAGACGGGTTGATTCCAGTGAAGCTGTCGCCCATTATCAGTACGATGCTCAAGACGGTATGCTTCACGCCGTCCAAGCCACATCACAGCGCCAATACGCGACCAATCGCACAAACTCACCTGAACATGCCAATCTGGTTGATGATATGAACCCAACTGCCTGGCGTTTTCAGCTCCTCCGTCAGGAGTCGATAAAGCTCATTGCGCATGAATATAATTCGCTCAGCCATGGTCTTGATGTCACGGTTCCAGTCGGCAAAGAGGGCACTGTCGTTGAGAATAAGCGAGACCTATTCCCCACCCCTCAGCAGGTGAACGCAGTCCATATCGAAATCGACTCACTAGGCGTGCACCGTAAGACGGTGGGTTGCTTATTTCACTGCGCTGTAAAACCGACAGCTGACTCTTAACACGGTCTGCAGCTTCCTTCGTAGGGGGGACGATGTGTAGCGCACCGATCCGCTCGCCGTACAGACCTGCGTTCTTGGCGAAGCTCTGGTCCAATCAGCTATGCTGCAGTAGTGCAATGAATGACGCACTGACCTGACACACAAGCATCGGCACACCCTTCTCCACGAAGTATCTAACTGCCCACGCATCGTTGTTGAGGTCACCACTTGCAAAGCCCTGGTAGGCGCAGTCGAAGAATGCGTAATGGTTTTTAGCGATAATGACTTCAGCGATCTGTTTCCATTGGTCACGAGTAGGGTCGACTCCTGTGGGATTGTGGGCGCAAGCGTGTAGTAAAAACACCGAGCGTGGCGCAGCACTTTGTAGGGTTCCAATGAAACCATCAAAGTCTAGGCCAATGGTGGTTGGGTCATAGTAAGGATAATCTATAGGTTGGATTCCAACATTCTTGAAAATGGCATGGTGGTTAGCTGCAGGAATGCCTGGTTAAACTTCTGTTGCACGCATTCCTACAAAAAACTCACCCCAGGTGGGATTGCTCAAGTAAATCTGCTTGGGGGCATCCCAATGATAAAACCTGCTTAGAAACAAGGCTCCCAAGTGGTTTGCGCCAGTTCCGGAGATGGTCTGCACGCTAACAGCACGCCCTTCTGCAATAGCAGGTGAATCGGCGCCAAGAATGAGCTTTACCGCACCAGCAGTAAACTCTGGTAAACCCGTGATTGGGAGGTATTCGTGATCGAGATTAGGATCATTCAGAAGAATTTGTGTGGCCTATAGTGGCACAGGAACTGAGTCTAGAGCGTGGTTAAGATGTAAAGAGGACGCACCTTCTTGATAACAGGAAGGACCCAAGGTTTATTGTCATCATCTCTATATGCTCCAACACCAAGATTAACCTTCTGAGGAAATGTGTCTGCCTTATACGCCGCGGTCAATTTGAAAATGCTATCGGTGACTTTCAGTGAAGAATGGAAATATATCGTGACTTGTACGCACCTGTCGGGTGGAGCAAGGGGAACATCCTCCCATGTTTCTGATTCATGAAAGGATTTGAATGCCGAGCACAGTGACACAATTATGACCAGTGCTTACCCGACGACATCGTGGGCTGTGCGGTACCTGCGAGGTGATTATATACTTGTCTTATCCTGTTTGACATGTTGGTTAGCTCCGACTCGGATAAGCGATGTTGTAGGAGTCATAGATCATCACGATGGTGCGAGTCGTGCGATATACGGCGTGAAACATGCCATGCATGTGATTATACGATCAAGGTAAGATCGCCCGTCCCTTCCCGTCCCTTGTCCACCACTTAACATCCAACAACCCGGCAGCGACGACAACTGAACACGAAGATCCAAGTTACTCACTGGTATCTGATTTGAAGCTCCAAGGCTTGATCAAGGTGAGATCAGGGTGGCGATAACAAGACAATGTCACGGTATAAGTACTAGTAGCGCCAGCCTCATCTTGTCTCATCTAATACGGTATAGCTTCAACGTTTTATCCCCGATGGAATCAAGAATAACTTTTTCCGGCACTTAATTAGGCCTCGTTGCCCAATTCCAGGTTCTCAAACGTGCAGATGAATTTTATCAGGACGTGAGTCACTGTTAATGGTATAGCCGTTGACATAACACACTGGCAAGCTGGACCCGAACAGTTCAAGTTATCGAACTCTATATCTCTTCGTGTCTGGAATGTGGATCATTGACGCGATATGGGGCCACGCTATCAAAGCGTACGCCCGCTTGGTGATAAATCCGCTAGGCTATTAGTACCCTCCTTTCTCCCCCGCTCTGGCTCCGGGAGCAGCTTAATACAGAGCCAATCGATGATTTCTTTGGAAAATCCGAATTCGTTTTTCGGTCAAGTGGTATTTCGGCTCCCGGTAACGTTGATACTTAACGTCCGCAGGGGTATGTATCACCCTGTTGCTCGTAGTACCCAGTCTCGCTAACATGTACTCTAGACTTTGATCTAGTTCCTACTAGAGGGTTTTTGCCTCAAATATCCCTGACATGTACATCGTGTGGGATGTTCCCTGTAGTAGTCGTAGATACTTGTCACACGCATTATCCATACCTTCGATGGCAAGTCGAGTGACCGACGTTCATGTACCTTTAACATGTACTTGTATCGCCCAACGAGTTTGAAATCCAACACGTCTCTTAACACTCAGTTCAAGATAACTATGAAGGCACATACACTCGTTGAGTAAGTCAGAGGTAAGTATACATTGTGATAGCGTCAGACACTAGATTCGAAAGCAAAAAGCAAAGCATGACGGGATAAACATTAAAAACTTCCTCCCAAGATCGTCTACTTCGCATTCTCCCTGGACATGAAATAGCTTGGGAAGATGCCCATCAGCTCTTCGAGGTACCAGTAATTCCCGGAAAGCTCATCCAGAGGGCCTTTGCCTTTTTTTCCGCGTTTTGCGTTAGACTTCTTCGGCACTTCATTATCTACTTCCACCTCCTCGCGCACGATCTGCACCCATAGCCCCCCAAGCCCCATCCCGAGGCTCAGCGTATCGAGTACTGCGGGCTCTATGACCAGGACTATATCATCTTCATACGGATTGTGCGGCTTGCCGGAGCCGCTGCCTTCAACCTCGCCGTCGGGCATGACCACTACACCGCGGGAGGTCTTGCGAATGGATGGCTTCGGAATATCGTTCTCCTCCCTCCCCCACGGGCCCATGACAACGCGCGCGAACCTCCGCTCTAACTCATCCTCCACCATTTCTGCTGCGTTAGCCTTGATCTTTGCCTTATCCTTCGGGGGTAGGTGGATCGCTTTGATGCGGCGCGTGGAGGACTCCACGATCCCTGTGCTGTGCGTCAGTGGGAAAGAGGTGGGACCCAGGAGAGACGTGAGCGAGGGCGGCGGGGAAAGCCAAGAGGGCTCAGTCACTTCGGGTGCAAATGAGAGTGGGGCGGAGTCCGCACCCCATTCGTCATTGTCATCCGCAGGGCCCCATTTACCGCCATCGCCAATGGCACCCCAGGTGTCAGAACCTACGGAACCCCAGCCTTCGGTGTCGCCCGTGGCACCCCACCCGCCGGCAACGGTGTCTGTTGTATCTGCAGACAAGATGTCGGGCGGTGCGGTGGTAATAGGGGCGGCGGTGTTGGCATTAGCGACGGGGGCAGTGGTGCGTATGTTAGTAACCTGGATCTCCATGTCAACATTGTCTTCGATGGCATCTTTGAGTGCCGTTTCCTCCGTATCTGGGAGAACAATCTCCGTTTCTGCACCATGCTGATCGATTACAGTGATAGTCGCATCGACTGAAAATGGAATATTAACATCGATAAGCCATCACGTACGAATAGCTGATAATACCTGGAGCAGGCGGATCGTCTGCCCTTTGGTGATCGTCAAAGGACCATTCAATCCCGCCTTTCCGGCCAAAGCACTCCTTGCAGCCATCGCTAAACACATCGGGTAACGCCTGCCCAATCTTGTATGTCAAGGGCAGCTCCTTCTTCGCGAGTTCCACAATATCAAGGGCACTGCGGATGCCACGTTCATGAGAGGCTTTTGGGAGAACGCGGTTCCGCAGGACAAAGTTCAAAAAGAAGCTGATGAGGTGTGGTGCGTTAACAAGGTTCCTCTCCGACCTATGAAATACTCCAATGAAAAGCACGTCGAGAATTATTATTGAGAGACAGACCAGATAAGGCCTTGTTCACGCATGTGAGACGATAGGAAAATTGTCACCGATTTCTCCGGGTCGTTCAAGAACACGATCAGCTTCTCCTCGCGTTGTTCCTCCAGATCAGATTTGCGTGCCTGCAAAGTACCTTCGTCGTCATCATGATCGTCCAATTCAGCAG